TGTTTGAAAACCTAGCTGTCTGCAAACAGAAATGTTCATGAACCAAAGACTTCACTTGTAATAAGGTTTTTAAAAAATACAAACCTAAGCTATCTTAGATATCAATTTATGTTAGCACACAGAGATAATCTCTGAAGTATTGGCTCTGTTCTTTTGTGGTCTGGATTTGGATTGCATGAATGTTATTATTTCTTAAATTTCATGTGTTGTTACTCTTTTAAAAAGTATGTGAATAATTTAATAGTTTTCTAAAAGCAAATATTATTGTTATTAGATTGTACGCAATTGAAATATTTCTTTATTACCTAAATCTAATATTTCCTTGCACACATTTTAACTGCTTGTAAAATTAATAAAGCATAAAACTTTCATAGAATATCCTTTATATTGACCAATATGTGATGCTTTGCTTATACAAGATAGATGTTGGCAACTGCAATAGTTTCTTGTCTTTAGCAATGGGTACTCTGTGAACCTAGTTTTTCTCTGTATTAGGATCATGCATTGAACTTCTTTCATAATGGCCCGTGACTCAGGACCAGACTACCATCCTCTGATGGAGAGATTGTTTAAGTAGAGAGCTGCGTATGATTATTGTGTTTAGGGCGACCAGTGACTCCAAAAGTCATTTACATACAGATGTTTGCTTTTTTGAGCTTTCCTTAGTTGTTTCTCTCTAATGTTTTAAACCCACCTTCAATTTTTTTTTTACTTTGAAAAGCTTTTCTGTATTAAAACAGAAAGTCTCTTTGGGGATGAAGTTAGATGACCAATTTTTCCACAGTGTATGGCTACCCACGCTCTGGTATTAATGGAGACTGGAAATGGAGGTACACATGGCCTGCGGAGAGAGCTGTGCTTATGAAGCTGAAGTTTGATCCTGGCTGGAAAGTGCAGTGTGAGGAAAGGAAGCACCCCTGGAGGAGGGAAGCCCTTGAGGGAAAGAAAACAATGAGTTTGGGGAGGATATTCCCCAGGAAAAGCCCACCTTTTCCAGAAACTCACAAGAGATTTAATGAAGCTCTTGAGTAACAGAAAATGTTACTTCCTTGAGTTCATGGAATCTTATGACTAATTATTAGGTTGAGAATTGCCTCCATACTATTTCCCAGAGGAGTATGTTTGGTTGTGGAAGTTCATACAGAAAAATGACAACGAAACATCAGAAGTCATTCAAATGGTCAGGAAGAATCATTTTTTTGAAAAAGTAAGAATACCTGAATGTCGTAGAAGTCCATTGAATGTGTTCCCTACATTACAGGAAGAAGAAGGATTTATAACAAATAAGGCAAACAAAAAATATTCACAACCTCTACAATGGTTAAGTCCAAGTAAGATTTTGGTAGAAACTCAAGACTATCTGACGTAGTCGAGTGTACAAATGTGTTTTTCTCACACCCAGTTACTGCATTTTTTGCCTACTTTCATCAGTAGGATTTGTTGCAATTAAATTATACATATTAAGTCTCAGGATACATAGACATTGTTTAAGATTATTTCATTTTCTTAAACATCATAAGCAGAAGAAATTTGATCACTGCAAAGTAACTTATGCTTCTCAGTGGACTACAGAGACGCTCAGATTGTGAATCATCTCTCAGAAAGCAGCTGGGAGCACTCCCCAAGTGTGTCGCGCTGTGCTATCCTAAGGGACAATGACGTCATGTTCGATTTGATTGCTGGAGCTGGACCAGCCAATAGCCTTCCGCGTCCCTCTCTATCCACGTCTATATTAACAGTGTGAGAGTGCCATGTTCATGTAAATAAACCAAATGAGCCAGCACGTGCCAGCCCTTCTTACCGCGCTGCTCTGCCCTCATTCCCTGCTGGGATCCAGCCCTGGTTTCCAAGCAGCCTTGACAGACCGCTGAGGACACGGTAGTTCAATAATTTTGTCAGTGTTCAGACATTGCTTTAATGTGCTGTTATATCCTGTGAGAAGGCTCAGCGTTGTTTTAAAGACAAAACTCTTTCTTTGCACTTGACAGAGAAATGTACTCCGAGCGATTTCTATGGAGTCATTGAAACAATATCTGTGTACGGCTGGGGATTTAGCTCAGCGTCAAAGCACCTTCCTGGCAAGCACAAGGTCGTGAGTTCGGTTCCCGGTACCGGAAAAAAAAAAAAAAAAAAAAAGAAAGAAAGAAACAATATTTGTGAGGCTCTAGAAATTGACTTTCCACCTCGAGGTTTTAGAATTTTTGTCAAATAATTATGCGTTTGAAAGGGACATATGTGGTAGTATGTAAAATATATGACAATGTGGTAGTATGTGGTAGTATGTAAAATATATGACAATACACGATAACAAATAACATAAAATGCCTATGATAAGAAAGCTAAAACTGATCAAATTTTAAGATCAAATCTAGTAGTTGTGCTTATAGGCTATTTCTTAGAATTTACTCCAAAGAAATACTTGGAAACAATAAAAATTTGACATGAAAAATTAGATAGAATACAAATGCCTATGGGTACAAGACAGGTTAAATTAATTAATGTACATAAATAGAAAAATGCATTGTATCTCTTTATAATAGTTACAACGTTTTATTCCGACATCATTTATGTTTAAAAAAATTAGAAGTCCAATAATACAGATGGCAAAACCTAGCTATTTGTAGCGTGTGAATTAAATGTTGATTTTGATGAAATCACAGAAGTCTGTAAATGTTTTTTATGAAACATATTTGTGCACATGTGCCTATGTGTGTGTAATAGTTTTGTACTTCGTGTCATTAAAAGGAAATGCTCACATACAGGCAGGAGAACTGAAAGTAAAAGTGGTTTATTAGAGTAATTTTTTCTGCCTAATATGACATAGTATTGAGCATTATGCTAGAAAAAAATTTTTAAGAGGTATACACTTCTTTCTCAAGCACCCTACTTGTGAGACACACAAGATGGTAAAACATATTATTGTGTCTCTCATTTATTCCTGAGAAACCAAGTGTTCAACCAGGTACAGAAATGGTTCAACCAATGACAGGCAGGAAATAAACATCCCTTTGCAGAGAGAGCTGCATCCAATGAGGGGACACTAGTACTGGCTCACGTACTCATGTTTCTTGGTGTTTTTCCAACTTGTACATTTGTCATTTCTTTTATTTTTATTTGAATAAAGCTTATTATAAAAACCAAATGATACTATGAGATCATGTAAACATGTTTTAATTTCTTTATTATTAACATTTCAATAGCTATACATAGACATCAGGAAAACAGTAAACATTAATATGATGACCAAGGTAAGAAAGCATCATATATCATTTTTAATGTTACCAGTATTTCCATACATTTTAAAGAATGTAGTCATATTATAATTGAAACCATTAGAAGCTTTGTCTACAGATATTTAAATGAGTTTACATCACGATTTTGAGATGCACAAATTAATCTTTGCATTAATATTGTATCTTCATAAAATTCATCTACATTTCATTCCACCTTTCTCATCTATCCACAGAACACAAGGGGACATGAATAATATTATGTGATATATGATTTGTATCATAAAATATAATAGCAAGTCCTACAATTTATTTCCCCTCTGAAGGAAAACTCATTATTTTGACCTAAAAGTCAGCATATTTTATTGGGATACAACAGAAATAGGGGTCAAAGGAAACAACAAAACAATATAACATACTCTGGAGAATTACAATGAGGAACACATTTTAGGAACAAATTTCTCAGAGGTTATAAACAGAAAATGTGATATTTTTACCTTGTATTGCATGCTTCTGATTTGTTGTGAATAGATCATGTGGATTTTAGTTGATAAGATAGACTCAACTGGAAAATCACAAAATTTTCTTGCCTTTGTGTCTCTTGTTCTACCAATATTTCTGCTATTAGGTTTGAAATACAGAATAGCACCTGGACAACAGTTTCAAAAGGGGATGGGGTCATAGTAGCACACACGTGTAATCCCAGCACTTTGGAGGCTGAGGCAGGAGGATTACCATGAGTTTGAGGCCAACCTGGGCTACATAACCTAGTTCAAGTGAAACACTGTCACAAAAAAAAAACTAATGAAAGGGGAGGGAGGACTAAGAGTACCCTGAAATATCCATGTCTGTCTTCTTAGGTTTCTTTCTATTTCTAGAGCACACACGCACCTGCTTACTCCAGCTGGTCCTGACTCACTGACTGTGGCCTTCTAAGTGATGATGACATGCAGTCTTACTTACTGAAGTGAGATGGGACCTGCATTTTGGGTAGAAAACTGACAGTACAGAGCCAGGAATAGCTCTGCCTTAGTTCCATCTGCTCCATGATTTTAGATAATAACTGAAAGAAAATGAGATATATTCATTACAGGCATTTCTCAATTAACCATATCTCTGTATTACAGGGTGAGACACTATTTCTACAAAATGGACAACAACAACAATCTTCTCAGAAGATATGTAATCTGGAATAACTAATTGCTAGGATTATTATCTTCACTTTTGAAGAAATCACTTTCTTCATCTTTAAGAAAGAAATAAAAATTATCCTAAGTACTACACAGTTTCTCTCTCTCTCTCTCTCTCTCTCTCTCTCTCTCTCTCTCTCTCTCTCTCTCAGTTACTGAATTCAGGTTTGTTCCACTAGACTTCATCTGCAGCCCTTTGTATTATTTTTTTACTTAGAGTGATGGTATCACCAATTCACTAAGTAGGGCTTAAAGTCGTCATGCTTCTGCCTCAGCCTCCTGGAAGGGCATACTACAGGCATGTATCACCATGGCTACACCGGAGTAAATGGAAATAGCATGATTTAGTTTGGATGGATGTGTACTCCACCAACTATACAGAAGAATCTAAATGTAAGATGTTTAATAACAAGAAAATGGGTATATTTCCAATATGGGCAGTATACTTTGAAACACTTGTTGTTATTTATTCTTGATTAGAGGGATGAAAGGATCAATAATAAACTGTGAATATAGTCAGAGTATGAGGACCTATTTTCATTTTCCATTTTGCAAATCCAAGAACCTCCAGGTCTGAGAGATGGCGGTGGAGAACTGCACTGCATTTGCAGAATTTGTGTTTTTAGGGCTTTCTGATAGAAAGGATATCCAAGAGGGACTCTTTCTGTTTTTCCTCCTTGTTTATGGCATAACTGTGATTGCCAATCTAGGGATGATCGTACTCATCAAAATTGACCCTAGACTTCACACACCCATGTATTATTTCCTGGGCAACCTCTCTTTCTGTGATGTCTGCTATTCCTCTACTGTCTCTCCCAAGATGCTGGCCGACTTCCTATCTGAGCAAAAGAGGATTCCATACAATTTATGTGCCATTCAAATGTACTTTTTCGGAGCCTTTGCAGATGTGGAATGTCTCATGTTGGCTGTCATGGCCTATGACCGTTACGTTGCCATTTGCAATCCACTCTTTTATACCATCGCAATGTCCAGGAGGGCCTGCACCCAGCTGGTGGCTGGTGCCTATGTCATAGGCTTGGTGGATTCAGTCATCCACACTAGCTGCACGTTTCAATTGTCTTTCTGCACCTCAAATATCATCAATCACTTTTTCTGCGACATCCCACCCTTGCTGGCCCTCTCCTGCTCAGATACATCCATCAATGAGATTGTGATGTTCACCTTCATCGGCTGTGTGGTGGGGTGCAGTATTGTCACGGTCCTCCTCTCCTACGGCTGCATCATCACCACCATCTTCAGGATGAACTCAGCCGCGGGCAGACGCAAAGCCTTCTCCACCTGCGCCTCCCACCTCACAGCCGTGGCTGTGTTTCACGGTACCCTCCTGTTCATGTATTTCCGACCCAGCTCCAGTTACTCCATGGACACAGACAAAATGGCCTCTGTTTTCTACACGGTTGTCATCCCCATGCTGAACCCCCTGATCTACAGCTTAAGAAATAAGGACGTGAAGGGGGCTCTGACAAAAGCAATCATCACTACATGGCGCTCTGGGTAGAACTGTGTTTCCTGTAGGGAACCTCGTTGGTCTCTCCTTGTACCCCGGAGAGAAATGGCGGTGGGTATGAGAAAAATAAAGACAAGAGACAAAATCCGGGGTCAGGTGGAGTTACCTCTTGCCTGCTGAGCAAGAGGACTGCCCAAAAGCAGTAGAGCATTTATTTATACCCTGGAGAGGTTGGTTAATTTTTGTCTCACTGCCCAGCAACCAGCTAACAAGTTACAAAGGCTTGTTTACTCCGAGGGGCTTGTTTACTCCGAGGAGCTCCCGTGTTCTCAGGCTGGCTTCATCCTGCCTGTCTAATTATTTTCCAGCTTCAGTGGCTCCCAACAGTTGCCCATACAGAATAGACCAAAAATTCTGATAATAAAGTTCGGGTACTTTGTCATGGGTTCCTACGCATGCAACCCTCAAGATATATCTTGCTGTATATTTATGATTATGCCTTGATTGGGTGTGAGGAGCAGTAATGATTAGACATTTTCTTCTTTCTAAACTGTGGCAGAATAGAATAGGCATCATCTTGCTGGTTTGCACACAGGTTCTGTTGCCCTCCCTCCTTCACTGGCAAGGGAAGGCTTTGCAAACTGGCCCACATGCAACTCACGGTGCTTTTATATGTTCGCAGTTTTTAAAAGTGGGCATAATAAATGAAATCGCCGAGCCAGAAGGCTGTTAACAGCCACAACCGCAGACACACTCAGCCACCTGACGTTTGACAAAGGGGTCAAACAAGTTCACTAGAAGAAAGATAGGCTCTTTAATAAATGGTGCTGGAAAAACTGGCTCACCACATTCTGAAGACTGAAACTAGACCCATGTCTATCACCATGACCAAACTCAAGTCAGACTGCATCACAGATCTCAATATTAAAACAGAAACACTGAATCTATGGGTAGAGAAAGCAAGTAAAAATCTTGAAGATGCAGGGGTAGGTAGAGAGTTCA